TGGGGCACATGCCAAAGGGGACATGTTGTCCCCCAAACCCTCACATCGTCCCCAGAAACGGAGGATGGGGCACCACCCCCAACCCCACACCCATCCCAGTTCCTCCACACTACTGGGGAACAGAACCTGGGGAAACTGAGGCACATGGTCCATCCCTTTCCCTCTGGGGATGGGTTGGGGCACGTGGCAAAGGGGACACGTTGGACCCCAAACCCTCACATCGTCCCCAGAAATGGAGGATGGGGCACCAACCCCAACCCCACACCCATCCCAGTTCCTCCACACTACTGGGGACCACAGACTGGGGAAACTGAGGCACATGGTCCATCCCTTTCCCTTCTGGGGACGGGTTGGGGCACGTGGCAAAGGGGACACATTGGACCCCAAACCCTCACATTGTCCCCAGAAACAGAGGATGGGGCACCAGCCCTGACCCCACACCTGTCCCAGTTCCTCCACACTACTGGGGAAACTGAGGCACATGGTCCATCCCTTTCCCTCTGGGGATGGGGCACGTGGCAAAGGGGACACGTTGGCCCCCAAACCCTCACATTGTCCCCAGAAACAGAGGATGGGGCACCAGCCCTGACCCTGCACCCATCCCAGTTCCTCCACACTACTGGGGACCACAGCCTGGGGAAACTGAGTCACATGGTCCATCCCTTTCCCTTCTGGGGGCGGGTTGGGGCACATGGCAAAGGGCACACGTTGGACCCCAAACCCTCACATCGTCCCCAGAAACGGAGGATGGGGCACCAGCCCCGACCCTGCACCCATCCCAGTTCCTTCACACTACTGGGGACCACAGCCTGGGGAAACTGAGTCACATGGGCCATCCCTTTCCCTTCTGGGGAACCACAACCTGGGGAAACTGAGGCACATGGGCCATCCCTTTCCCTTCTGGGGACGGGTTGGGGCACATGCCAAAGGGGACATGTTGGCCCCCAAACCCTCACATCGTCCCCAGAAACGGAGGACGTGGCATCAGCCCTGACCCCACACCCATCGCAGTTCCTCCACACTACTGGGGACCACAGCCCGGGGAAACTGAGGCACACGGTCCATCCCTTTCCCTTCTGGGAACGGGTTGGGGCACGTGGCAAAGGGGATGTGTTGGCCCCAAAACCCTCACATCATCCCCAGAAACGGAGGATGGGGCACCAACCCCAACCCCACACCCATCCCAGTTCCTCCACACTACTGGGAACCACAGCCTGGGGAAACTGAGGCACACGGTCCATCCCTTTCCCTTCTGGGACTGGGGTACGTGCCAAAGGGGACACGTTGGCCCCCAAACCCTCACATCGTCCCCAGAAACAGAGGATGGGGCACCAGCCCTGACCCCACACCCATCCCAGTTCCTCCACACTACTGGGGAACAGAACCTGGGGAAACTGAGGCACACGGTCCATCCCTTTCCCTTCTGGGGATTGGGCACGTGCCAAAGGGGATGCGTTGGCCCCCAAACCCTCACATCGTCCCCAGAAACAGAGGATGGGGCACCAGCCCTGACCCCACACCTATCCCAGTTCCTCCACACTACTGAGGCACATGGTCCATCCCTTTCCCTTCTGGGGACCACAGCCTGGGGAAACTGAGGCACATGGGCCATCCCTTTCCCTCTGGGGATGGGGCACGTGCCAAAGGGGACACGTTGGCCCCCAAACCCTCACATCGTCCCCAGAAACGGAGGATGGGGCACCAACCCCAACCCCACACCCATCCCAGTTCCTCCACACTACTGGGGAACAGAACCTGGGGAAACTGAGGCACACGGTCCATCCCTTTCCCTTCTGGGAACGGGTTGGGGCACGTGGCAAAGGGGATGTGTTGGCCCCAAAACCCTCACATCATCCCCAGAAACGGAGGATGGGGCACCAACCCCAACCCCACACCCATCCCAGTTCCTCCACACTACTGGGGACCACAGCCTGGGGAAACTGAGGCACATGGTCCATCTCTTTTCCTTTTGGGGTTGGGGCATGTGGCAAAGGGGACACGTTGGCCCCCAAACCCTCACATCGTCCCCAGAAACAGAGGATGGGGCACCAGCCCCGACCCCACACCCATCCCAGTTCCTCCACACTACTGGGGACCACAGCCTGGGGAAACTGAGGCACACGGTCCATCCCTTTCCCTTCTGGGGATTGGGCACGTGCCAAAGGGGATGCGTTGGCCCCCAAACCCTCACATCGTCCCCAGAAACAGAGGATGGGGCACCAGCCCTGACCCCACACCTATCCCAGTTCCTCCACACTACTGAGGCACATGGTCCATCCCTTTCCCTTCTGGGGACCACAGCCTGGGGAAACTGAGGCACATGGTCCATCCCTTTCCCTTCTGGGGATGGGGCACATGCCAAAGGGGACATGTTGTCCCCCAAACCCTCACACCATCCCCAGAAACGGAGGATGGGGCACCAACCCCAACCCTGCACCCATCCCAGTTCCTCTACACTACTGGGGACCACAACCTGGGGAAACTGAGGCACATGGTCCATCCCTTTCCCTTCTGGGAACGGGTTGGGGCACGTGGTAAAGGGGATGTGTTGGCCCCCAAACCCTCACATCAGCCCCAGAAACGGAGGATGGGGCAGCCCTGACCCCACACCCATCCCAGTTCCTCCACACTACTGGGGACCACAGCCTGGGGAAACTGAGGCACATGGTCCATCCCTTTCCCTTCTGGGGACCACAGCCTGGGGAAACTGAGGCACATGGTCCATCCCTTTCCCTTCTGGGGACCACAGCCTGGGGAAACTGAGGCACATGGTCCATCCCTTTCCCTTCTGGGGACCACAGCCTGGGGAAACTGAGGCACATGGTCCATCCCTTTCCCTTCTGGGGACCACAGCCTGGGGAAACTGAGGCACATGGTCCATCCCTTTCCCTTCTGGGGATGGGGCACATGCCAAAGGGGACATGTTGTCCCCCAAACCCTCACACCATCCCCAGAAACGGAGGATGGGGCACCAACCCCAACCCTGCACCCATCCCAGTTCCTCTACACTACTGGGGACCACAACCTGGGGAAACTGAGGCACATGGTCCATCCCTTTCCCTTCTGGGAACGGGTTGGGGCACGTGGTAAAGGGGATGTGTTGGCCCCCAAACCCTCACATCAGCCCCAGAAACGGAGTATGGGGCAGCCCTGACCCCACACCCATCCCAGTTCCTCCACACTACTGGGGACCACAGCCTGGGGAAACTGAAGCACATGGTCCATCCCTTTCCCTCTGGGAAACTGAGGCACATGGTCCATCACATCACAACCTGGGGAAACTGAAGCACATGGTCCATCTCTTTCCCTCTGGGGATGGGGCACATGCTAAAGGGGACACGTTGGCCCCCAAACCCTCACATCATCCCCAGAAACAGAGGATGGGGCACCAGCCCCAACCCCACACCCATCCCAGTTCCTCTACACTACTGGGGACCACAGCCTGGGGAAACTGAGGCACATGGTCCATCCCTTTCCCTTCTGGGGACCACAACCAGGGGAAACTGAGGCACATGGTCCATCCCTTTCCCTTCTGGGGATGGGTTGGGGCATGTGGCAAAGGGGACACGTTGGACCCCAAACCCTCACATCGTCCCCAGAAATGGAGGATGGGGCACCAGCCCCGACCCCACACCCATCCCAGTGTGCCAAGACCAGTTCCACCACATTACTGGTCCACATGGACATGTGGAGGCTGACACGCACCTCATGAGCATCCCCAAGGGATGCTCAACCATCATTAACACCCCCCCCTCACCCCCCAAGGGTTAAGGAAGGGGGCAGTGTTAGGTGTGGAGCCCCCAGCCCCATACCTGCACATGCTGGACTTGCGGGAGCTGGAGCTGCTGGGTGAAGATGGGGGGGTCTGGTAGGACCAGCTGTAGTCAGAGCCCTTCAGGTCCTTGATCACCTGCAGGAAAGATGGGATTTAAACGCACCAAAAAGATGCTCCCCCCACTCTCCCCTACCCTCCCGGGCTCCCCCACTGACCTGCTCGCTGGCGGGGGGCAGCTTGTGGGGCTCGGCGGTGAGGACCACCAGGTCCTCGATGATGCCCTGCAGGTGGGTGATCTCCCCGAGCATGGTGAGCTCCCCGTTCTGCAGCCAGACAAAGGGGGAGCATCAGCTCCGCAGACTGTCTTGGGTGTCTTCTTATCCGTGTGTTGTCCTGAAGCAATGACAAAGCAGCAGGGTTGTGAAGCCCTTTGCCTGTTCCAAGGATTCCAAGGATTGTGTAGGAGTAAGTTCCTTGCATAGTAGGGGAAGAAAATGTGGACACCCTCCAACTTGAGGATTTGCATGAAGGCAGCTCTACAGGAAGGATGTGGAGGGGAGGGAAGAGAGAAAGGAGACAGAGAAAACGTGTGAAAAGAGGCCGAGGGCCGGGGCGTGCACCCCCGCCTCCCTGCCACCCCCCCCGGGGCTGTGCCAGCACCCCCCTTTCTCTGGGGGGGGGGGGGGG